GGAAAAAAAAAAAAAAAAAAAAGGCTGACTGCCTCAGGCCAAAACGCTGGGTCCCTGAGTCCCTGAGGCCAGAGTCCCAGGGGTTCTTTGCCGTGAAACTGGGCAAAACGCGGTATTTTTGCTGGCAAACTATGGGAACCCCATAAAGCTGCAACGAAACTTCGAACGGACGATATTTTTGCTGCCAAACTTCGAAACAGCAATATTTTTGCTATTAACCATTATTATTATTATTCCTTGTTGGAATAAGAAGGGAGGAAATAAGGAGAAAGAGAGTGGTTGGTGAAGAAGACGGGCATTCTCATTGGTCTTTGCTGTTGTAGAGTGGTTCGTGAAGAAGAAGGGAATTCTCACTAGTCTTTGCTGGTGTACATCTTCTTCTTGAAGTTCTTCTTTCTCATATCTTCTTCTTCTCCTTGTTTCCCTCTCTCTCCTCTCAAGTTCATTCATTTCTTTTGCAATTGGACGGCATCGCACTTTCTCACGAATGTGTACTTCAAAATTGGCCAGAATCATAACAGCTCGCATTAATAACCTAACCACCTGCGGGCCCTGGGGGCCATCATTACATCCCCCCCGGCAGCTAGTACACCTCCCCACCCCCCGCCCTGCACCACACACGCCTACACAGTCAACCTCCATACATACACAATGCACTTTAAAGTCCAATGGGGGACTCAAGCCATAGAGTGGAATGTTTTAGTAGTCCGAGGTCATAAGCATATAAGGATATCCATATGGCCACTATCACAGTTTATACCCAACCCTGAAAAAGAGAAATTGTGGCCTATAACCTTATCTGTGTGACCACCATCCAAGTTTGTTCTACGTGAGAAAATGAGACTCCTTGAAAGTTCATGGCAAAAAGGATGTAAATGGGAGGATGCAACACACTCGACTGATTCGCTTGATCCTGCTTCGAAGTTTATCCCTGATGTTCAACCCCGAGCCAGCTCTGAGCTATGGGCCATATGGCTTCTGCTGTGTGAAAAAAAAAAGAAAAAAAGAACAGAGAGAGAGAGAGAGAGAGAGAGAGAGAGAGAGAGAAAAGATCAGACTAACTACTTGTCTACTTCGCGTGTGGACCAGATTATTGCTCCGGACGAAATCGAAGCGCGTTCATAACGGTAACGGTCATCCATGGGCAGATTCGTCAGAATGGAACGTGCTGGCCGTATCCTTGGCTAGAAGCCGAGCACCAAAAGCAGCCCTGCAATTTTGTACACACCGGGTATTTACGCATYTTTTTCCTTCAGCTTGCTTTCCTTGATTCCCATGTCAGCGTTGAACAACATACATTGTCCAGACTGCGTTCCATCACGACAGTGGCATCATCAGCTCCCGGTTTACCGTTGCAGAGCTGAAAATCGATTAAAATAAAACAATTATTATTGCGCATTTCTCCCACAAGAGAATCAGATAAAGAAAAAGACCAAGAAAGAGTCTCCATCCATAGGTTCTACAAATCACACCTTCCGGAAAAGCAGGCTCGGGTGCAGGCTGGCTGGGATCAAGTCAAGGGGTTTGCGCATCAAACATGGGAGCAGGCAAAGGCATTCCATCAAGAGGCCCTCTGAGGTATTGGAGAAATCACGTCCTCAGTCGATCAGCATCCACATATGTGTAGAGACAAGAGAACCATCAACAACACCAAGGTGGGGAGAAATCGGACAACAACACGGAAATGGTCACGAGCGAAAATGAGAAGTAAACTTCATTGTCGTTAAGAGAGCCAGGAATAAAACAGATCCCGCTCGATCTGCTGGGGTGAAGGCTAACAATCTGAAAACAGGAACAGGGTCGGACTCCTCTCTGTACCAACCAATTACGGACAGCCGTGTCAAGGCCTCATAGTTGGTCACCCATGACTGCGAGGGAAACCAAGAGCACACTTCCGTCGCTCTGTGCACTATGCCTTTTGCACAACTCCCGGTGTTGGCAGTCCGAACTTCAGCGGCTCGGCTGTTGGTGGTGAGCCTAGTTCTACTTTGTCACGAGTCATGAAAACCGAAACGGTAACCTAATAGTGGCAATCATGGGGGATGCAAATCAACCTCGATCCTCTATAATTGTTCCCTACGAAGGAAACCTACCCGCTAAATCTGTCGCATCGTTCAACCCAAGCTGTAGAGCCCGCGGGTAGTTCAGAACCGTAGTAAGGTAAGCAAGCTGACTTGCACCAATGTGTACTGCAGACAGCCTCAGCGATTCGTCCGCTTCTGCTAATGGTGCTTCCCGAAAAGCAATTGTGCTGCACCAATCCGTTCACCACTCATTGCCTGCATGCAGACTTGCACCGTCAGTGAACACACTTCTTCCCGCGCGCCCACCATGACGACCATTGCAGCGCTTCTTCCGTCATGTCTTACTTGTGGATAGTTGTGACCGTTGCGTTTGCGCACGGGCGCTTGCACTCTCCCAGGACACACTTCTCCCCGGTGGCACACTCACAATCCTTGCAGCACTTCTTGCACGGACCGCAGGGCACACAGCGCTTCTGTCCCTTGGGGCAGCACGGAAG